TTCATCGAGTAAAATAGTAAGTGAATCGCAGCTGAAATAGCTGGACAACACTTTTTCCGGTTTAGTGAATAACCTGCTGTAGCACGGACATCATACTAATCAATAAATACTGTATCATATCAGCTAATTAACAGCACCAGCGGATCCGGGTTGTGGTGTTTGAATTTTTTCCATTTATTTTCAACTCAAGCCAAGTTCATTACATGCTTTAGGCACCCCGAAATTATGTCACATTTCTCCAACCACATTGAAAATATATAAGCAATTATTCAAACATAGGAGAAAGCTCACTGGCTAATCCAGTTGTGAAGTAAAATCGTTACCACCAAAATGAAGCTTCAAATGCCAATGTTATTTGGAAATTAGTTTAATATGAGAATGGTAGATGGATTTTGTCGGAGGAAATACTAGTTTTCACATAAGTATCAGGTAAGCAAACTAATCAACTAATAATTATTGTATTTTTGACCAAGCAACCAAAATTACCTATGTTTCACTTTCTTATAATAACTAAAACACAGTTGCTTAATAATACACCATCAGACTATGTTTGCCAACACAAACCCTTTTGAATGTTTTATTGTTTCCTGTCCACTTTTTTCATACATACTAGGTGTTCCGTCATTCCAGTTATTAGATCGTAATACCGGATGTTCATGAAGCACGACAAATTAAATTAGACTGCTCATTCAGATAAGGAAATCACATTTTATTATACTCCAAATAAACTATCCGAATGAGAGATTTGTCTACTATTGTCGTGCTTTATGGGCATTCATTCCTCAACGGTGATAAAGTTCTGGGGAAACTTAGCCTCCACTGAATTCTAATCACTATCTTGCCGAGAGTATAGGTTTACTACCAGTGAACAGCTACAGAACAATATAATACAGCAGAATACTTCAGTTTAGATCGTTGAACATCAGGTTATGGTTGGTCTGAAATGATGACCTCTATCGACTAATACAGAATGTTTGCTTAGTGTATATTGTGGTTGATACAACAATTAGGCAGAATCATCGGACGAGTTAGAAATACGCCTGTGTGGTTCACATGCAGTCCGAAAAAACCGGTCTGAAAACGGATATCACCTTCAACTATGTGCAGACCACGAATATTTCCTATTAAGCACCCGCTTCTAGCACAAGAATCCATATATTGTTACACGGAAACTTCCCAACTCTTCTCATTGATGGACGCAGGTCGATCAAAATGCTATCAACTACCACTGGTCGGAATTCACTAAATACTGCCACTTTCACTGTTCGATATCTGNTATCTGTGGATGCGAACCTCACCTTGTTACGAGTCAGATTCCAACTACACCTACAGCCAAATATGACTCCACGTGCAAATACCTTGAACGCCTTTTCACCAAACCCCGATAAATGATCGCGAGAAATAGTGATAGTAAAGTATGAGGAGATGGTGAGTGTTGTTACTATTGGCAACGGTGACAATCATCTCCGTCTAATGAGGGTTACAGATATATGGAAATCAGGTGTATGTTAGAAAATTGGTGAATTCGACGGCACATTGCCTTAGGTCATCATAAGTGATGAACATAACATTTTATTACACAATTCAACTGACCTCTATTGACATCGAACTTTACAACTTAGCCTCAAGTATACAGCGTTTGCCAGGCGATACCAGTCCTCCTGATATGAGAGTTACTCAGAAAATAATTCATTTCAAAAGTTATAAAACCCCCGGTTCAGATCGGTTATCAGCATAAGATTCAGCAGTAGTTTTGAAGTTTCCACCCCACCCCACTCCCTCCGGGTTCAAAATGGAAAAATGTGATGAAGTTAAAGATGAGCGGTGTGAATCGGGGTGAATCTTACTGATTTTTAAGAAAGACTATTGATTCTTTTATGCGAACCACGAAGGAACTCGCTTGATCAACATCGTCTCAAAGCTTCTGGTTGATATTTAACTCCTTGAATTGTGTGTGGTGCCTCAACAATGCAAACGTGAGAAACAGAATGGTTTTTTACGTGGTTGAGGATGTATCGACCGTATTTTCACCCTTCACCAAATTCTGAAACATGATCTGCGTGTAGGCTTATTATTTTTTAGCTTCCTTGAGCTCAATCGGCATTCAACCGCACGGTAATCTGTCACTTCATCTCCTCGAATAAGTTAATTTCGCTCTTACGGTCCCTTTATACAAATAACTGAACCAAGTTACAGCTCTCTCTTACCTGATTTCACCAAAGGAACCGGTGTTCATCAGCGTTGCCCTTTGTCTCCTTTTCTGTTTCATTTTGTAATAGATGTAATCATGCAACCAGTCCTGTCCTCCTATGGGGATAGCGGCATTGACTCCCAGGAGACAGCCTAAATTGGAGTAAGCAGACCACATTGTACCATTCAAATAGGTGGCTAGTGTTTCTGGATCGTTTAAGTGTTAGTGGGGCTGTACTTCGCACGCGTTTCGCACTAGAGCCCTCGTGACCGAGGTAAGCCATAGTTATAGACAGGGAGCGGCATGGATGAATTTCATACACAAGGGAGCTTATGCATTTACTCACTTTCTACGCAGATTCCATTTACTTNCTTGTTACTCCTTTCAACTGTCTAACTCTTCTATTTATTCTTGTCGCATTGGTCGACTAAATCAATAACCAACAACAAATAAAACCGACTCACGAAAGTACAAGGTTATTGAGTGTGCAAATTGAACTAAGAAATAATTAAGCTAATCGTGATGCGCTTCAGCTAGATTAGTTCATATTGCCGGTGAAGCGTGCTTTTTGTCTTTTAAGAGTGGCACCGATCAAGACATGCTATTAGTAAAACACGATTGTCATGTTTCACGACATCTAATCATGTATCGAATCGCATGTGGTGCCGACCCTGAGAAACCCTAACTCAAGTTATGCGACAACCTGTTAATAGATACCACAATCATGGAACCGACATAAAGCTGAGATAGAGCATTCGTTCAGGTGCTTGGCCTTCATTTTATGCATGTTGTCTAATGAACTTCCTGTGGACTCTTTGTTCTTCGTGATGACTAGCAGTTAACAAGGTAATAAGTATAGTTCACCGATGAATAAGTTTAAAGGAAATCAAACTTTGACTAAAAGGATTAACTGTATCGATTGAGTTAGGCTACCGATTCGGGGTCTCTTAAATATGCCCTGTTTGTGGTTAAAAACGATATAAGTAAAATTTCACTTCACTAAATGTCTTACAGATCGTATTCATTATCCCACATTGTGCTTAATTTTATAATTTTATTTACACACATTTAAAAAACAAACAACCTCAGATCCTCACACAGGCTCAAAACACAAACGATGGATCTGATCGACCTCGGCTGCCCTGCTGGACACCCGCAGAACCCACCCTCCTGATGCCACATATGACAGTGCGCAAATCCCTCAGACGCCAGCTCACCGAGAGTTTGAGGAATAATGGCAAGAAGTGGTGAGTAGGGAAGGGATGGAAAAGGCTGCGGCTATTGGGACTAGTCGCAATCTTTTCTATCTAAGTAGGAATACGGGCCCCAGGAAAATAGGAGTAAGTGAGGTACTTAAGGAATCCGATGACAAACCGATTCACCATCAGCAACGCCCTCTTAATCGATGGGCTAAACATTTCGAGGCCCAGTTCAACTGGCCCCCATCAACATCTGACTTATCACCCTCCACCGCGACTGGGTAACTACTGCCAGGTTCATCCTTGGTTTCGGAATTAACGAAACCCCTAGGCTCAGTGTGGGAGAGGGAACAAGTTCCAACGGAATGGTGTGAATCGGTGATCATACCGATTTACAAGAAAGATCACAGGTCCTCTTGTGAAAGCCATAGGGGAATTAGTTTAATTAAAATCTTTTCTAAACTGCTAGCTGGGACCATGCTCTTTTGTTCATCCAAATGGGCAACCAAAAGCGACGCAATGATGTGCATACTTAATAGTTGTTCAAACTGAACTGAACTGGACACGCTTGAGTTCAGAATGTGAGACAAACAAATTACAGTACAATAATCTTTAAAAAAGAAAAATTTCCACGATTTACTCGTGAGCAAGATACTTTCTGGTTATCCAGGCCAATTAAAGTGAATTTTCTCGGGGAATTCACAACCGGAGCCTTGGACTAATCAGTCCACATGGTGGTACGTGAAAATCCATTGGGGACCGTTGTCCACTTCATTTGATCATATGCCCTTTGGATGCGGTCAAACGACCAAGGTGCTCAATACATATAGACACTCAGTTGAGTCGGTGACCACTAGCAAAACTAGGAAAGTGTGGGTGGGAGTGTTTCATACGTCTCTTATTGGTTTGGAATAAGGGATTTCAGCGAAATCCTCGAGGTGAACTGCCAGTGGTTCACCGACCCGACTATAGCCCCGAGTGTTGGCTTTTTGTCCTCTCTATTTGATAGAAAAACATCTCTGATACGGTTAAGCAATCAGAAGAGTATTTTCAGCGAATGCTATTTGAGACGCCTCATGGTATGGGAGCATTTCACGAGATGCAAGAGAGAGGGGACCACCTAAAACCCTAGACCCGTCCCCCAACCATCGTGAAGCTTTCGGAGGCTGTTTAACATGGTCACGTATCAATTAGAAGTATCCATCTTTCACGAACAAAGGTTCCAGTCTGATTGAAACACATTGTGTTGCTGCATCATGTCGATGACTACGATTTGAATGACTGCCATTGTCAGTCTAGATGGATGGATCGTGGATCAGGCCCGGACTAGAGATAAATGAGGTTAAATGTAAACGCGTGGTTGATTGATTCGGCACACTCATACGATTTGGGATAGGTCGCAAAACATTATTCGTTTGTAGTCAATCCAGGTGTTGAGCGTGGAAAATTGATTGCATACTTTGCATACCCAGGTTATAAAATGTACTTTACAAAACATACAAACAAGAACTCATTTACTCGCTCCCTCTATCCATTTGTGGAGGAGAGAAAATAAATTTGCCACCAATCAATATGAATAACTTTGCTCTCATTTCAATTCTATCATCTAGCCACCTCTGGTCGACCATGGTCTTACATAATGGCCATTCTGAATAATGAGGCCAGCGGTGCCGAATTGCCCATCTATGCGATGACTTTGGTCAACAAGACGTTGAACGCGATCCCCGATCAGGACACGTTCTATGATGTGACCGACAGTTTGGAAGAGATGGGTATGCAAAAGCTGATCCAAGTCTACCTGAGCAAGAAATCTTGTGATCCGGAATTGGCCGAACAGTTCCATTTGTATGAAGTAAGTTATTTGTGACTGGATAGAGACAGGGGAAGGGGCTGCTCCCATTTTCGATCGCGCATGAGAGCTCTGTTTGATCGGAGTTGGTCGGTTTGTGAATGAGAATATGTGAAGAATTAACGAAAAGTAGATGGCGCGAGCCCGTATATAGATATTCTTTGTTGTTTTGTCTCTAGTTATTTGCTTTAATTGTTCTCTACGGTTTCTATAAGGCATAATCAGAAGGACTCACTCTCATGTTCCTTATTGCCTACTGTATAGTGAGGACTGATCACTTTTGTTCCAAGCCCCGATGATGGAAGAGTTGTGTTTGGTTTCACAGCCTTGTTTTCAGCCCAACGCACACGCAAGTAAACATTTCACTGATATGGAACGAATAAACTTCCATCGTTTTTGAGGTTTAATAGGTAAGAAATCTCTACGAAAGCGATACGGTCAGAAAGAGAAGCCGGAAATTTGGTTATTGTCTGCATCAAAGATGGTCCGTGACCAAAGTGATTCAGGGAGAAAAAACCGTAGAACCATATCGTGTCATCCTTACGTAATGCAAGTTGACACTACGAGTTCAGCGAGTTTCATGGTTCGAGCGGCAGTTGCCCTCGAACGCAATTTGGAAGCGATTTTTCAGTGAATTTAGGTCTGTTTGTCATTCCAACGGGGCACATTGAAATGAGACTGAAGGCTCAAACATTCATTCTCTGAACTGATAGTGCACCGGACTGTCGTCCAGTGGTTGAGTGACTTTACGAACCCCAAGTTGGATTCCGGATAACGAGAAGTCGGTAATCTCCGTGTACTATAAGCAGGTAAATGTGTATATAAATAAGCACCATACCTCAAATTGTGGGCTAATCCGGTCTCCACGGTACAAGAACAAAATATAAGGTGCAGAACAAAACATCTGCGGAGCGGCCACCAAAAGGAATGCAAACTATGTACAGTAACGGGACAATTTAAAGGATAGAATCACCAATCTCAAGTGCTCGATAATGGAGCGCTGTAGTTGGTGAATGCAAGGCACACAAACGGTTTACGGGATCCTATGGAACGAAGCTGTCCGCTAAGCAAACGAGTCCAACGATCAACTATGAAGGTCAACGTAAAGTGGACGAGATGAAGATGACGCAGAGAAAAACGCGGGTGGGTGAACAGATCCAGGGTTGTTCGTGGGTAATGACGCACGAGATTGGCAAGCGTGAAACAGCGAGAGTTAAAGGACGATAAGGGTAGATGACGCACAAATGAATGGGACGAGTAACGCTTAGAGACGGTATGTGAACAATAACAACAAAGTACAAAGTATGTCATCGGACCAAATCGGGGCCTAATGATGGGCAAAGTACATTCCAAGGTCATCTGAGTAATGGGCCACATGGGTGCACAATTAATCAAACCGAAACGGAGCGAAACCTGTGGCGTGATTATTTTTTTCAATCAAGTGAGTACAGATAGTATTGTGTTCCGTTTTACCATCATGCATCTTGGCAACAGTTTTAGACGGTACGAGCAAAAGTTATAGAAGTGGTTTCGTGTGTTGCAGTTCCTGGTACTTTTATAAGATTAACATCTGATTCACACAGCCGGTACATCAGAGGTTTACAACCTGGCCTATTAAACGCCATAATAAAGTTCTTGAGAGGTGACCCAGGAAATACTTCTGTTTATTTGGTATCCACTGCAGTTGTTTGTATACAAAGTCTTCTCATCCTCAATGAGTGATGTAACGATGACCAATGTAGTCCATTCTGTAACTATCAGCAGACTGTAGAGATATGCACCTGGAAGAGCATCTAGAATGATATTTTTTTATATGCTTGGTGACGACAATGATAATAAATTTGAAAATAGCTAGCCTGTTGGAAATGATGCGTACACAAAAATACGCAACCTTCATCATATCTGCGCACTCTCTCCAGAGGCTACAGTCCTGTACCCTTTTTATTACTTTATGTCTTGGTCAGCGCGGCTTAATTTACGAGACTATACCGAAGGATAAAGATGTTCTTTATATCATAGAAAACTATTAAATCAACGTCACCATTGTCACATCTTTTGTTCCCTTGAAGTAAAGACAGCCCAAAATGACTACTTTGAAATATTACAAACATCGTTCAAAATTAGTTTCAATTTTTGTTCGTTTTATGTATCAGGCAGCTCTCAGATACGAGGATGGTGAAGAATATGATTTGAACGGGATATCCGCAGGCAGCCGCGAAGGACTACGTCAGACCAAACGCATGTCCAGATTGGAATTCCTTGAGACACCGGAAGGTCAAGCTTTGCTATCGTCCATGAATGCATTGCCAACTTCACCTGCAATGGCGATTGATATGGATGGCTCGTTGACACGAAAATCAAAACGTTTCCAGTCCGTGGAATGTCTGAATGCACCGAAACGCGGACCCGGTTTACCCAGACCAGAGTGAGTTAGAATGAGGATAGTGGTATCCGCATGCGACCCATCTCGCTTTCTGGCAACGTCGCGCGTATCTCGTTGGGTATCATACTTGGTTACAGCCTCAAGGACTAAGTCTGATATACCCTTGATTATCACTTTGCGATTACCTTTGTTAGACTGAATCATTAGTCCACTGAAATTCTCAGTTTTTTCTTCGATCCTACTTTCAACCTTTCCGTTTTCCTCCTATTGCTCACTCAAATGGTCAGCCAAAAGACAGCAATCAAAAGCGTCGCACGGGAATGCATGCTTAATGATCGTTTAAAATGTACGGAACTGAACTGAACCTTCGTCAGGTGGACGAATCGGGTTATTATATGTTTCCACGCTGATAACTAATCTCTTTTCTTGGTTAAGGGTAAAATTATCGCTATCTGATCCCATTTTCATTCCTCCTTTCGAATTTTACACAGTTCACTACTGATCGTGTGTTTGTTCTCTTTTTTATCTGTTGCACTGCAGTGTTTAGTTTAAGTCAAATACGCAACGACTTTACACATCAGTTTCATGGCCCCCGTAGTTACCCCGATCGTTGAAAAATGAAAGACTACCGGCACAATTAGATATAGGATGATTTCTACGCATGGTACAAGTCTGCCGTATGGATTTTTAACTCATGGTTTATATTTGTAGTATAAATACCTTTTATTTAGTTTCATGTAACCTACCTGGTCAACCTGTTGGACAAATTATTCCAAACAGTAGATTTTGGATTAGGGTCGTGTTCCGAATAGTTCAACCTCACTGTAACACAGAAGCATTCAAACAGAAGGAGGAAAGAAATTTTGATCAGAAGGTTCACTCGCCATGGCTACCTTCGCCTCTTTATCGAACGGAGTTTGGTTCCGGAGAGGAAAAATAACAACAGACAAAGGATTGAGGATAAGGACGAATTCCATATATACCAAGGTGTTAGAAATTATCACCGTATTTCTGATGCAATGTAAAATTTAAGTCACTCAAAAATCATTTACTTATCTATGGAGAATTTTTCAATAGAAAATAAGAAAACTATACCTATGAAATAGGTTAGAACATTTATTTGATGCATTATGTGAAAATCTCGGAAGAATCGTTTCAGCAGGGATTCGTAAAATCCACTCGGCCGTCAAGAGGCCCTATACCTTTTCACTCTATGAGTATTAAAGAGAAAAATTAGACTTTGGTTTGGTGAAGATCATCGACCAAGTTTAATCAGAACACGCCATAAAACTGAACCGAAGTTCTGAGCTATTCGAACAACCCAGGGAACAGGTGCTTTGAGTCAACTCTGGAGCATATACCGATACAAATCAACCTTAAAAACAGAGATTACACCATGATCTGAAGACAGCTCCAAGAGGTACTATTGACGAGTACAAGGCAAAATCTAGTTGAACAGGATTCAGTGTACCAAATGCTTAGGGGAAATCTGATATAAACTGACTGAACAGAAGCCGAACATCATATCACGAACACTGGATGTGTCCTTCGTTTGATTATCAAACTCTGTTAGCGATTGGTCCAGCTTGGTGTAAACCAGGGAGAATGAAAGATATTCATACGTTTCGGTCATGAAAATGTAGCGCATTCAAACCACCTATAGTCTAGATTAGAACGTGCTTACGAACACCTTGCAAATTGGTTAGAAAAATAAATGCGTCCATTGGCGATGCAGAGCGACTGAAAGTGTAAGCCTATTGTGTGGATGGTGCTAATCTTCATATATGAGCGGATGCATTTGTGACTGTGTGCTAAAGTACCCGATTTCAATACCACCACCATACATATGCATGTATGTTAGGGTTTTGCATTAGCTCGCGGTTCTTTAATCACACACCTTAGGACGATAAACAACAAACAGGATAAGTTTCACAGTCACAAAACCATACTGTTCACTCATGATACACGGGATCCGGAGGGTCATGATAAGACGGGCATGTTGCAGAGTCAGAGGTACAAAGCTGCTTACCACTAAAGTTGCATGGCTATGATGGGACTGCAGGAAACTTAGTATGCCAGTTACAAGAATTTGAAACACTTATCCATCATCTCTTTGACCATGATCATCATTGCCGCCATCCATTTGGCACCTATGGCAAAATAACAATTGGTTCAGACAATTTCTGAAGTCCATTATTTATACTTGTGGCAAATGAAGCGCTCCTTTTAACAGCCATTTCCTTGCGTACATTTTTCTAATTATACACAGACCGAAGAGTAAATTCCCGGACGAATCCCTTTCGGACAATCAAAGCAAACTGAAAGTTCGTGTTCCGGCGCAACAAACAGAAAATCGTCTTCGTGAGTGATGTTGGTTTGTTTTTATGTTCCGGTCATTGAGATCCCCGAACCCGTTTCCGCAGTTCGTGATTCGCTGTAAAACTGACACAACCCAGGGTTTTGCTCATTTGAATTTCCCAGTGTATGGTACAATCTTTGCTCAGTATCGTTCTTCTGAACGCATGCCACCGAAGCTTGTAATTATTCTTTGTTTCGGTAAAGCCCTTCTCCTGGATCGTTAATTTGAGTGCGCATAGGTTGATTTGCATGGTACGCACTGATGATCGTGTTTGTACGCTTTCGCTTGTTGCATGATGCCTATCCATTTCCCGTTTGCTCG